ATTTCTATTTTCTTTTTTCTTGTTCTTAAATGGTTTTAGCGAGTGTCAAACTAAGCATGTTTTTATCCAATCTAGCTCAAACTACATGTATTGCGTAAAAGAGATCTAACTGTGAGAAAAAGACGAAGTTGACAATCAAAAAAAAAAATGTTACAAAATTTGATGGCATAAATTCGTCAGGTGTTTTGTCCAGATTTGTGGGATCGATGACAGCTCAAGAGAAGTTAAGTTTAGTATGCCCCATATATTCTCGTAAAATCCAAAATGGCGGCAGCGCAGTTGTAACCCCACCGTACCTCCACATATTCGCAAATTTTAATGCATGGAAAATAAATAAGATTTTGAATGTCTGTGTAACTTATGTTCATTTTTTCGATTCAAAAGTCCAAAGCAGTAGTGAGTTTTCGGACGCCGAAGCTGAATTAATATGAAAAAATAGGCACAGAATCAAGTCAGGGATAAGATTTATAAAAATCATGACAATTTATCTAAATGGCTGGATACCTATCGTTTTCTAACCTTAAAGATATTTGTTGTTCAATTTGCAATCAGAAAGTGCATTGCTAGTATTCCAATTCGCTTTTTCTGCATAAATATTAGAGATTTGACAATTTTCTCTATATACATGTAATATGATTAGTTTTAATTTTTAAGTTTCAAGAAATACTGCGGATACATTTACAGAACTTTGCGGATTCAGAGATACTTTAATGAGTAATTTTCATACACTGTAACTTAACTGCTAATTTTATAAATCTGAGGTTCGGACTAACTTAAATTTTTTTGTTCATTGCAACTCTTTTTCACAAATAAATGGACGCTTTTGTGAACATGAAAAATCATTCCAAGTCCCGTTAAGAAAATGTGCCATAAGAACGCAATCCTCGTTGCCAACATTGTTTGGTTCCCCTGGGTACCAGTTTTGATAAGCCTCGTTTTCAAGTAGCGTATTACTATGGCTCCAGATGAAGCGGCCCTCAGTTTCTGTATCATTAGCTCCGATCCATATAACAGAAATCCATTTATTTTCCTTTGCTGTAAAAATTAAGAAAAACTTGTTTTATTTAAATTTTAAAAGAACAAAATGCTTCTCTACATTTCCATACCTAAGTTATGCGTTTATAGTGTTTTCATTTATCTAAAGTGTTCAATATTTATGCCCCTGCAATCGAAGATTCCATGGCATAAAGTTTTTTAGCCCTTCTCTGTCTATTTACAATGAAGCTGTCTCTCTGTCTGCGTACCTATCTGTGCTCAAAACTTTGACCTTTAATTGGTTGGAGCTATGGATCTCACATTTCACATGTCAATTTCTTGTGCCTTTATTTCAGTACTCACAAATTTGACCTCTGGACTTTGACTCCTGAGTTTGACCAAAATTTGCAATATACAGTTTTAACCCTGACAATAGCCTTTGAACGGTATGTATATATAATGGCCTTTATGCTTCCTATGTGTTTAAATGCCATACCATTTCAATTATATAAATATTTTGACCCTATGGGCGTAACCTATGAGTTTTACTAAAGCTAAACTTTAACCGTAAAGTTAACTTGTGAACCCTTAAAGTAACAGTGCCTTCAAATTTCAGAACTGTATTCCATTTGTCAATGCCTTCTTCGGATACTAACAATTTAGACCTATTGACGTTGACTAGCAGTTTGGCGTTGTCTGAAACTTTCACTTGGCAATTACTTTTTAACAGTAGATGGTAGGGCTTCTACATTTCCCATGTGTATTTCCTATGTACTCCCCCAGATACATTTAATTTTACCATTTCACTTTGGAGTTTGACCACATTAAAACACATTAACTTTGACCATAACATTTTAATGATTAGGAGTGGAACTGTCATACTTCACAGGTTTATTGAAAAAATTCTTATTGGGAAACATTTCTCATCCCTTGATCTTGGAGTTTGACTAACAATTGAGAAACTTCAACTTTTGGCTTAAAATGTCATATGGGAGAATCCGTTTTACACAAACACATAATATTGTTTTGATCGAGAATATGTACAGGTATTTGTTTTCACTAAAGTATGAAATGTCTCCACTTCACTACAAAAGCGTCCTGTTTTTCATGCAGTGCTCAATTTAAAGGCGATCGACTTCAGGGAAATTGATGATGCCAATCATATTGTGGCGAAGGAAATACAAATTATACGATAATTTAAAAAAATATTTTTTCTGTCTAATAGAATGTCTACGAAAATCAGAATGATAATGATAAAGTATTATATTCTTACTCGTCTTTCCAAAGAAGGGATTCATCAATTTCTGTGTTATCCAAGTATTTTCGCTCTCTGAGTTTATTTCTGACAAATATGCCTGAAATTCTTCACATTTCTCCTGTTAATGACAAATTAGATAGAAAAAAAATACATCACAAATAATATGGAATTGAAACTGACTTTTGATATTAAAAAAAGTACCTTGGCATCCTGCCAAGACAGCTGCGATCCTTGGAGTAAATAGATGTGGTCCTCGAAAAGTTTCCATTCTGTGAAAGATGGTGAATATAGAAACATAACCCGTTGATATAAATTAAAAATAAATAATGTCATCAGCTCGATGACATACAACATAGAAATCATATGCTATTAAGCTTGACTTTCTCTAATTATTGAATATTTAATGCGTTGATAACAGTTTATGTGACCATTTTTCATCACATAGTTCCATTTTGAGAAGCCGGAAAACAAGGGCTATACGAGACACTGCATTTAAAATAAATAGTCAAGAATCAGTAAACTAGAGTGGAATTAAACGCTTCATTAAAGCTGCTGTAAAACTTGTTAAGAATCCCAAAGATATATTAACTGAGATATGTGAAATTTACAGCAACCTACGTCTGTTTTATATAAACATGAGCAGGTGGATTTAAATGAACAAATCTGATATAATGGGCATCAATATAATGGGTACCGTCCTTTGCGACAAGGACATACACATGTACAACAACAAATGTATATTTGCGAAAATTCAACAAATTATCACTGAGTATGTTTGATTGACTTTAAAACACATAAAAAAATTTGATAGACATCATTTTGGGGATGGTTCACACTGTTTTTAAGAAACATTTGGTAGTAAGAAGTTTAATAATCAAAGGTCACCCAATATTTTGAAAAATAAATGAGAACGACAGCGTGTAGGAATATTTAAAAATACAAAAAAAAAATATACTTATCCATGTTTGTCTAAAATTCAAACAGATTATGAATCTTTAATCCATTTTGCTTTAAACTCTCAAAACAAATTCACAATGAGATACAGGTGACAAAACAGCAAAGGTCTGAATAGAGCAAATAATTGCAAGAGGACAAAAACAGTTTTATATGCTATTTTCTTAAATATTAGTGGTCGTGTTGTTCAAATTCTTATTGGGGGAGTTATTTCAATTTCTGGAAGAATCTAGAAAACTTTTTTTTTGCAAAAAAGTGAAAGGTTTATGAGAAGAAGGAGCCAGAATGAGGAATTAACTACATCATTTGTCTTCAAGACAGCGTCCAAACCCACAGGCTATGGAGAGTATATGAGTTCTGTGGATAAAAAGAAAGTTAATGTTTTGTCACACCAACAATATTGGCCAGCACTTTCAACCTTTGAAATGTTTCATTTCCCAAACTTAAAAAAAAACACCTTTCAGAAACAAAAAACAAGTACAGGAAAACATAGGATCTGCCATATTCCAGTATACGAAGTGTCATACTCAAAAATGTGTTCTAAAAACAATTCGAAATTGAATAAAAATGTTGCGGACATGTGTTTCAATTAAAAGATAATATTTCAGTTTAATCATTAAGACTTAATCATAGAAAAGCGTATTTTGTTTCTTTCCGAGCTCCGATGACATTTATTGAACGTCCCTCGTACATATATAAAACTCCGATCAATCTTTTGAAAACTTCCCAGAATTCAGTTCTTTGAAGAGGCCATCAAACGCGGACACCAGAAAATTCAAGAGATTGGATCGGTTGCTATGAATGGTATCAATCGCAACTTCTCGGACCTTTCCGACTAGCGGAAAAACGACCTTGAATGTATGTGATAGACGCCATGACAACCCTCCTTTTTCATGATCTTTGAAATAAATGCATGGAGACCTTTTATCTGTGGAATATGGAGTTTAACTTTATTCAATGTAATGATATTACCTAAAATATACTACAGAAGGGACTTCTAACTCCGTCTATCTTACATTTGACTAAACAGGAAATGTATAAATTTTTAACTTCCGGCGATGTAATACATTCGAGGTTGTTTTTCCGACCTCTGACGGAAAGACCCGAGATGATGCGATTGTGAATTGTATAAGGTCCCTAACGACCGGTCGCTTTGTGAATGAATCCTATTTTCGATTGGATAGAGGGAATATTTCGCGGCCTAAATTATACTGTAGCTTACGATATATATTGAATAAGTGAACTACTATCATCTCAATTGTTATTTGCTACCATTAGTGAATTGAACATGTCCTGCATAAAATAACAAAAATGTCACTGAATGTTTTTCAACCCGTCTTTCTTTCTTTCTTAAAATAAAAGGGTTTCATAGGAAAATGCAATTGATTCCAAAGTACCAGGGAACAATATAAATCTTTAGACTAGGTATAAGAACGAGGACGGCCGAAAATTCCATAGAATCAATCCAGTTCATTAGTTTTCTTTTTTCATATGCAACGAACAATTTTGAAATAATGCAGTGTTGGGCGTATTTTTTAATTGACATTTAAAACGAATAATGTAATACCACATCTTAGATTCGTTATCCATTTTCCGTTTGAACCACACGTCATTATTCCAGACCCGGTTTGATAAAACTCCTTATAACACTTAATATGCATTCTTCGTAGGATCCCAATGCCGTCCCACCTGTCTGAGCTATTTATATCAGCTCCTTCTACACTGGGCAAACCACAGTCTGTAAGATATGAAAAAAGAAAAATTAAAAAAAAAATTACAATATTTTCCTTTAATAGTGGGTTAAACTCTAAGGTCACGAATGATTATACCCACTATAAGGTAATGTAACAATGAATTCATTTATGAAGTATGAAAGCCCTAGCATTAACGGTTCAAAAGTTATCACCAAGGTTAAAGTGTGATATTTTATGTAAAATTGGACTTATTCCCAAGGTCGAGGTCAAATTTGATGGTACCCAAAGAGAGGTATTGCGAAATTGAACACACCTTTAAAATATGATATCCATAGTGACATCCTCATAAAGTAAAAAAAAAATTGCAGACAGCAGGACAGACGGACAGACAAGGCAAAACTATATCCCCCACCTCCGAATCTTCCATTATGGGGGCAAAAATGACACACAAGTGTAAACATATCTATCATGGTGTCCCGATAGGGCCATTGCAAAAGTGTATTAGCGCGTTACAAACAACACGCAAGTGCATTAATGCTAACGCGCTAGCGCGTTAATGACAACACACTAGCGCGTAAATGTCAACGCGCTGGTGCATTAATGACAAAGAGCTAGCGCGTTGTCATTAACGCGCTAGTGTATGTAATAAACGTGCTAGCGCGTTGACATTAATGACATTATTCTAACAACACGCAAGCTCGTTAATCGATGACAACGCGCTATAGCTAGCGCTATAATTACAATACCCTATTGTTGTATTCTTGTATTCTTGTATCGTTGTATTAATGGCAATACGATAATTTTGTATTCTTACAACTCGCAAGCGCATTAATAACAACGCGCTAGCGCGTTAATGACACAACACAACTTCGCGCTTGCACATAACTCGTTGTCATTAACGCGCTAGCGCGTTGACATTAATGCGCTTGCCTGTTGTTTCTAACAACGCGTTGTCGTTAACGCGCTTGTGCGTTGTCGTTATCGCGCTTGTGCGTTGTCATTAATGCGCTTGCGTGTTGTTTCTAACTCGCTTATACACCTTTGCAATGGCCCTATCAGGACACGATATAAATAACATAAAAGGACATTGAATATAAACCATTCTTACTACCCAGACGATCTTTGCTGTTGCAATAATTTCATTGCAATAAAATATACCTGAGTGTCAGAGAGATTATTATACCCCCCCCCCCCGCTTGAAAAGTGGGAGGGTATATAGTAATCGGTATTTCCGTCCGTCCGTCCGTCCGTTACGCTTTGGGGTACCCATCTCTTATACGCAACTCCTCTCATACCACTGAAGGAAATTTAATGAAACTTTCACAGATTCTTAATTACATATTGCCATTATGCATCTCCTATTTTACTTTTTGATCTGACATATATTTTTGATTTTCCAGAGCAAAACATGGACACTGCCATTATATTCATATGGGAGGCGGGGGTATCATTTAGTGAGCTCATTGCTCACAGTACCTCTGGTTTATTATTTAAAATAATCAAATTAACTTTCTCATAGTAAAAAATCCTATTTTTATGCAGATCTTCATTTTATTTTTTGAATACGATTTTTCATCGAAATTTGAAGTACATGTAGAAGATCGTTTTAAAGCTATCGGTAAGGCGCAAACCATTCATTCAGTATCAGAGGAATGAGAGCACCAAATCCTCGGATGAACACATGGCTTTATTTATAATGAGAGCACCAAATCCCCGGATGAACACATGGCTTTTTGTGATAGAACGTTAAATGGAGTAACAAGTAATAGCTTTTCAAAAAGCTTGCCTGACTAATGTCATCAATATCCATAAAACGTATAAGCTTGATAAGTTATAAACGTTTACATTGGGAGGGGGGGGGGGTGAAATTATTTCACAAGAGTAAATTATGAAGATGTTGCACAAAACATCATGCATTCATTTTAAGTTGTGTGCTATTCATCAGATCAATAGAAAAAGAACACATTTTATATAAAACATATATATTGTTTGTATCTCAAAAAAAAATGGAATGTACATTTCCCGCTGGGATTCGAACCCGCGACGTAAAGATGAACACCTCACTCCACAAGAGAGGATGACGTAAATAAGGAAAATAAACTAATGTATTAATTGGTTTATGCTGGAAGGTCGTGGATATGTAAAGATTACATAAATTAGATTCAACTGCATACAGCATAGGCTATGAGGAAGACAGTTGAAAATATAATAACTACAAGAAATTGGGAATAGTAACGGTTATGACTGACATGCAGAATATGTTTGATAGTTTCTTGGGTATGCCAGAGCATCAACGATTGTTAGAAACTGGGATAAATAAAACCCGTTATGCATAAATGACCCAACAAACTTGACGGGGATATATGAATTTCATGGCGCTAATCGCAGATACAGGAAGTTTTTCCCAGGGATGACGGGTCCACATAAAAAAATATTTGTATAAAATAAGCAAAAAAAGTAATATACAGTTAATTCTCGATAAACCGCCACCTTTTGTAATTGAGAAATCATGGCGGTATAACGAATTTGGCGATGAATTGAATTTTCCATCTTTTAGGAAATAAGACGTAGAGTTATCATTCTTAGAAATACCATTTAGCGTTTCTATTCTTATTATTACAT